TTCTGCGCGGACCTCAGTGCGCGGCGCATCCAAAGTCAGCGTGATCGGCGCTAAACGAACCATATTCTGCTCCTGCTCCACCACAGGATACGTTTTTCATGCGTTCCTGGTTATTCGAACACGCTCACTTGAAACGGTACACAGGAAACGGGTTTTTCGCGCAGCTCGGAGTACTGCGCGAGAAATCCCCATCGCCAGATCTCATGAATCCCGAGGACTTCAGAAACAGTTCAATAGGTTTTTAGAAAGAGCAAGTCTTCATACACTCGAATCCGTTCTCAGATTTGTGAAATGTTGAGTTACAAAAAAAATATATTGATTCAAACCTGTTCCTGAAAAAAAATCCCCATCGACTCCCTATCGCATACTTCTCTGTGATCTTTGCGGCCTTCATAAAAGTTCCAGCACTTTTTGGGAAGTGCAAACCTTCCTCTACACGAATACGCTCTCCTCTTCCCCACAGGTCCGCTTTTGAGGAAGTTATGGTCCTTCAAAGACACCCTACTCGCGTTCGACATGGCTGGTCCTGCCCAGAATCCCTTCCCCCGGTACCTCGGCCTTTAATCAGCTGATTGTGCTGGTTTGCTCTCGTTCGTATTTACTCTTTCGTATTTATCTTCTTCTCGGTTTATTCGAATATCGAATATTTATCTTCTTCTCGGTTTACTCGAATATCGAATATTTATCTTCTTCTCAGTTTACTCGAATACGCGTCAGAGCGCGCCCAAGCAATTTTGCTTGGACCGCTCAGAGTGCTTTTAGGAGAAGTTGGCTAATTTCCTGTTTTTTCTTTTAATTGCAATTGATTCAGGTACCAGAGTTTGTTTTGACTCGAGGGAAGGTGGGGGGATCGAATGCTGTGCCCTGGTAGACAAGAATAGGGGCTGGCTCGGGTAGTCATATATCACGTAGAGTGAAAACAAGTGAAGGCAGTAGCGCAAGGAGTCTTCAGTGTTCATCCCCACGAGGACTAGCCATGTAATTGAGTTTCTTCCCGAATAAAAACGACGTAAATATGCCATCCATTTATTTGCCACTTAATACTATGAACTGGGGTGGACATTCAATGTAAAATTCTTCATATTTAATAGCTCAAACCTGGTATTCACAGCACATTTCGCGATTTCCTGGGAAGTGCCAGTTTTCTTATACATAGGGGATGCAATTTTTTCGCCGCTAGTGTGCGGCTTACTGTAACCACACCATTGTGCTGCTACTTGTTCACCTGCCTGTGTAGTCTTTAAGCAAATATCACTACGCTCCTGTTCAACGTATCCTCCTTCAATACTGAAAGTCAACCAAACCTCATTAATAGTATTTTCGATGGCTTCACTTGTTTCTCCATCGATTCATCAGTCCACCCCCCCCCACGCTCATATTTGAACCGCACTTCTCACGATTTGCAAAATGCTTGGAAGATGTCTTTCAAGCCTGCCACAATGTGATGGTATAGTTCGGTTGGCCATCTGCCGGCAATTCGATCGCGGCAAAGAAAACGTAAGAGCACGTTTCTCTGCCACCGCCTCCGTCCGGGACAGCAGAACATGGCTCAAACCTATTCATCCCTATACATTCGGAAGACCGTTACCAGGTTTCGCTGATTGTTAAAGCAGCGACGCAAACTGCCCGCAGGTTTGGTTCTTCCTCTTCCCTGAGGACGATTCGAACTGCACATTTCCAGACATACGCCGCTCTCGTCGTCCACAGTAACGTCCTTTCCTGTTGCTATACCAAGTCAGAGGGAGGCAGTTTAGACAAAGCCTGAGAAGAGGTTTAAAAGTACTTTCCCTAATCCTTTTGTTTCCTCTCCCCAATCTACTGATAAAGGTTTTATAACAATGGGAAGTGCGGATTGACACCCACGACCTGGCAGTTTTTCGTTTTTTTTTTGGTCACTGTAGATAACGTGTACATATATAAAACCCCTAGAAAAATACCCTCACTCTATCGCCCCATGAAGTTCACCTTAACAGTTCTACTTGTCCTTGAAGGTAACTTTTCAACCATCGTCGTTGTAGTCAAATATCGTCAAGACAAATTTAGGGATCAATGTTATTCTAACCGACAACCCGTCATCTACGACGCATCAATACCCACCACATCCAAGCACTGCTGTAACAGGCACAGCCGCGACACCAACAGGTTGGTCATAGGTAGATGTGGTACTGAGGTAGACGGCCTTTGAAGGTACTTTCCATGCTAATCATAAGGGCGGAGCTACTTGGCCCTCTATGCCCTCCCATCATTGCGCCCTACATCCTAGAGGCAAGGAGAGTGTATTTCGATTGACTAATCTCGCCACATGGCGGGGGTTACTTCAAGTCCGCGGGCTGAATGACTTCTTCATCTACTCAAAGGTCTCTGGTAGAGACTTTGGCATCAGTCGGGATCGTAGGCAGCGCAGAATGACCCCTTCTTCCCGGTTGTTCCTCGTCTACAGATGACTTCCGGTGTGAAGTCGACTTGAGAAAGAAATCAGAATGGGATGACGTACCCGACTTGACTTGTACTGTTGAAATCTATGTGGGCAAATATCTATATGTTTGTTGAGGAAAAATCCCCAACAGGGGGTAGGGGAGGGGCGGGGGGGGGGGAGGCGGAACTTGGTCTGAGATATTTTTTTGATTGATTTTTCTTCTTCCAGCAACGCTTAAAGCGCAGGGATGTCGTATTTGTTCCCTATTGGATGGAAAGGACGGGGGGTCGTATTGGGTTTCTGGCTTTCTGAGTCGATTTTTCGTTGGTTCCCCTGTTTCATCTGTACCATCCACCCCTTCCCCTCCAATCGACAGCAAAATTTTCAGAAAAAAAACTAGGAAAAATTTTCGGGAAATCTCGGAAAAACTGGTAAGAGGTTGGGAAAACCGATGGAAGTGGTAGGTAGGATGAGGAAGAGGGGGTGGGTCGTACGGTCTCGACCAAAATACCCAGTTACTGATGTGCCCTGACGTGGGGATCGCTGATTGTGACCTGACTGATTGCGATGATATTTACTGTATGAATGAACCATAATTTTTCAAATATCATGAGCTAACACATAAAAAACAAGTATGATGTAAAACAGCGACCTCGAGATTATTTTTTACATTGCCCACGTGTCCCGTATTTATCCTTGTAGGACTAGCATCTCCATACCAGACTGATATACGAAGAGACTCTTGAACTTTTCATAGGCTGCCTGCCTCCTTTTGTAATTCATTATACCCAACACATATTCAAATAAGACAACGACTTCGAATGAATATTGAATGTATGGCGCGTTTCTGAGATATTTATGATATTTTCTGAGATATTTGGAATTTGTTCAATCCGTAGAAAGTGGTAGTCATTGATAAACCTTTTTATCAGCCAGCTCATGCGAGGATGATCCTGGGGCGAAGTGTGAAAATCTGAAGCCGCAATGCTTGGATCACCGTTACGATGAGCTTATGGACAAGTATGTCTAATTTTTCCGGTTCATCATCAGTCACACGTTGCATGGTGACCACATGGGCGGAGCCAGGCCCAGCATTATGGCTGGCTTAATGCTGTGTCGCTCATTCCTAGTGCAGTAATCGGGAGGGTCGCTTCGGTGGGAGAGGGTAGTTCTGACTTTGCCTGTACCATCAACGTGTACTGTCCTTAGGTTGTTAGTTACAATATGAAAAAATTTTCCAGTATGTTGAAACTGAAGTTTATGTTGATTGAATTAGTGCAGTGACCTTTTACCCTTCGACTTCTTCCACATTGACTTTACAAGAAATGGAGTACTTTTCAATTATTATTATAATCTGGTGGAGCCACGCATTCGACTTTTACACAAAGTTGAAAAGGTTTTTTGGGTGTATAAAAGGACAAGTTCAAGAGGTTGATTTATTTCGTGCGGGGACCCACTACGCATTAGCATCCACTCCAAAAACACTGTACCATTCCGAATTACCATTAGTATACTGGGCAGCGTACAACTCAGTTTTCTTGCCAGATGAATCTGGCACCAATTAAGCGAGCGCGGGGATGAAAGGCTTGGTTGTCTTATGTGGGAGCAACCCTGTTCCTGAGCACGTAACAGTTCACATGGTATACGGCACCACTTTCCACCACTTCACTTACGCCCTGCTAATATAGACTTCTGCCATGATATGGACTACAGCAACCTGTTCCCGGAAAAAACTTCCCGAGCTCATGTGCATCAGAACAGAGCTCAAACTTTACTGAATTATAGCCTACTCTGTTATGATATTTGTGTATTTACGAAAATTGAAAATTTGACGTCAGCTATGATGCACTTTCAGGTATTGCCCAAAAACCTGCAATAGATGTGATAAGCTGAAATGTGTTGACACTTCTGCATTGTGAGTGTACGCCATTTGTTTTTCTTTTATCCCTTCAGTCTGTTGTTTTCCTACTCTATTTTATTTCTTCTGTTTGGTCGCCAACTAACCACTTCTTGGCGCTGTCCGCCGGATGAATGCGCCAGGATATTTTGTAGGTCCCCTCTGTGTCCCCTGTTCCCATCTGTAAAGCTACGAAATAGTACCAGTTTTTCGCTGTATACTATGATTTTGCACCACATTGAGTCGGGTCAGCAGAACTCCTAACTTTTCAAGAACCGCAAAAGAAAGATATATTACTTGTATTTTCTTTCATTTCGAATAATTACAAGCAGAAACACCCACCTTGTTTTGAAAAGGATATCGCTCAACAAAACGATATTGGTTTCTCCTGGTCCCACCTTGTATAGCCTTTTACTCCACTAGATAATGAAGATGGCAGACGACAACAGTTGGTGGAAAGCAAGTTGGCGCCGCGCCAAATTCAGACCCCTTACGCGCTGCGGCATCCGTAGCGAACAAGATCTCCTTCCCTGGGAGACTTAACAAATGTCTTCTCAAAAATCGTGGAAATGGCGTTGAATAAAACTGTTGCCATTTTGCAGATGTACAGTCTACAAAACATGGCCCGCGGCATTGACAGAAGTTCGAAAGATCGCTCTCTCTCTGTTTCTTTCTTTTCTCTCTCTCTCTCTCTCTCTCTCTCTCTCTCTCCCTAGTGGGATTGCAACGAACAATTCTTTTTATTCAGGTGCTCTGTTTGGAATGCTCAAGGATTCTGCAAGAACACCTTCTACAGTGATGATATCAAAAAACAGTATTGTGCGCGAACATGTGATCTGTGCTGATCATTCCAAATTTTTTGTCGGTCAACATAACTATTTACATGTTTTGTAGCAAAATAAAGTCAAAGAGTAATAGCATGACCTAGAAAGTCTCCGTGGGCTTGGCTAGGAGGTTCCGGGCTATCCGTGGCGCAACATCAATGAAGATTACCACGCCGCGCAGGAAGCTCTTTAACGATCAACTTTCTTACATGGCTCAGCTAAGCACAAAAAGTTCAATCGAAGAAAATCGCTACGCTCAAAATCGGTCAAAAAATGCTAGGGGTTAAACATGTATTTAAGCACGACGGCATTTTGGCTTGACCAAAGCCGCAGATCGGTCAAACCCCTGTTTTTGGGAATATCAGAATTCAAGAACAGGCCCCCTATCAATTTAATCGATTCAAGGGGGGGGGGGGGCCCATGCTGATTGTACGGGCATGTCAAAGCTACATATTTCAGTTCAATTGCAAATTATACACTGATCGTTTGGGCAGAACTACTCAGCAGGACCTCACTCAGCGCTACCCTTCTTTTAGCAATGAGATGGTAAAGAGGAGCGGAGTGAGGAGAAGCGTACAATGGTTAGCCGTGCACGCCCACGCGACCAAGTTGGACTGCCTTGAGACCTTTTAAGGTCTCCAAAGGGGAACTCGCAGTGACGTGCTCCGTAAGCAATGAAAGGGCCCCAGTGGGGCACTGATCGACTCTCGAATACGTTAGTATTTTCGGTTTCCAAATGTTACACTTTGACCTGCGCGTAGGAATCGAGGTTGTTCTGTTCCAATCATAGGGGGCGGAGTCACTGCGACAACTGCATCCTTCCGGTGAGACTTTTTGGCAAATGGAAGAGAGCGGCGCACCTATGAGGAAAGAGCAATGATCCAAGTGGTCCGGCCCGCATGATTAGGTTGGAATGTATCCTCAAAGTGCATATTCCAACTAGTCCCTCAGTATAAGCAGTACTTCGTCAACCATTTCGTAGGCGGTAACTACTTGCAGCAACCAGATTCGGAGAAACTTCCGATAGTTTAAGCATTTTCGATCGTCCGAAATTGCATTCCCAGACATCTATATTAAGGCACCAACAGAACTTCTTCTCTAACTTCTCACTTGGGATTTCGCCGACCTGTTACGCTGTGCTTTGAAGCAGAGGCACCGTAACTTTTCAAGAACTGAGAAGTTGGCTCGGAACTGGGTGCAGTTTGAGACATATCAAGTGCTTCGTCGCTTACCCACCTGTATTTCACGCGCAGCTGCCTAGCTACCTGCCCGATAAATGAGTTCTGGTAGGAACACTGCGCAGGTGACCCCCTCATAAGGTCAAGGGTGTTACTAGTTAAAATACCTCTTCAGCCGCCCCCGACGCAGCTTGTAGGCGGACCACTCACCACGAGGCTGATACTTGTAACCCGTAAACATCAGAAATCGATTCATAATAGTGCCACAGGAAAGTAGCACAGTTTCCTAGCTTTTTCAATTTTTGGCGATTATTGGCGTATATCGGGAAACTTCATTTGTTCTCAATGTCCGGCTTTTGTTCGGTTAGACCTGGCGTTTCTCAGTGAATCTGAAAAGAGTCAAAAAATTATGGTGGCGCCGCTGATTGAGGCGACGCATCGCAGCATAACTCTCCTTGACCCCCTAGCATTCACCGGTTAGGACTTCAGTCGGGAAGCCACACAAGGTAAGGTATTCTCCTGCTACAAAATCACATACAGTCGATAACGTCGCAGCCAGTCGGCTCCGTTTGAAGAAGACTGAAATGAGCTCACATACAACGTTGCCATCCACTGGTTTTTTTTTCTAAATCGATCATGAACCGATCCCATTGTTAGAACAAGACAACTGAAGTTGGGCTCACTCCCTCCCTCCTGCCAACAATTGAGGTGTTATCAGCTACACTGTGGACCGTAGTCGATTCGCTTGCGTAGAATGGGATTTCGTTATCAAATGTCATGCTTCAGGACGTCTCCAACTGATGTCATCGTCATCGACGATGACAAAGCGGACATGGCACCGACGTCATCGCCTGTTGAACAAATGAATCATCGTTATGCGTTGTCCATTTCAAAGCCGCCCCCTCTTCTGAGCTTTTATTGCAGCCGTCCATCAATCTCATACTCCATTTCTCATCATCGCTTTCTGTTTAGCTTAGGGTGCTCCATCCCCTCTATGAGTGTAGCCTCTTTAGCTCTGGGGGGTGGAAAGTC